CGAGCTGTCTGCCACCTTCTGCCAGTGAATCTACTCAGAATTATTCCCGATAGCACTTGTCCTGAGTCACCTTAATCTATGTGCTGTCCAGGCATATAAATGATCGCCTCTCATTTTGTTTATGGCCTCTGTCATGCTCCTCAGTGTTCAGCTCCCCACTGCCTGTTTAACTGTAATGTATTTGTGTGGATGAAGCATTACAATTGAGAATATAATGGAGGGGAGGCGAGCTGCAGCTGCATGTACTGCTCTAAATCAGCAACTGCATTTGTCTACATTGTGATAAATGGAAGCAGAGTCAGCTGCCGTCCCCCTGACTGGACAGGCTTGGATCATTAGATAGTGTGCCTCTGCTCCTTAGATGACACAGTCTCTCTTCTAGAGTCTCATCCCTTCCAACTGAAGCTGTCTCTGTGCACCAAAGATGCCCTAGGCTCCTCTCCAGAAGTTAATGACTAAAAGGTCAAATGCTTTTGGAATTTGGGCTATAATAAGGAGCAACGCTTGACTAATATATAGCAAATGTCAGTGAGGATGTGTCCATAAAATTACAGGTTAGGGGTAGTGGGAACAGGCTTTATGGAAACCTTTTTTTTTTATCTGTCGGATATCAAGCAGAAATGTAATTTTTCACATAACGAATAGTTTAGAGTATGTCCTATAGCACCACCTAGCAGGCTAATTTAAAAAGTGATCTATAGGCCTCTGTCTTTGACTGTGCTTATGTAACTGAGTAAAAGAATACGTCAGTCTGGTCACATTTTTGACTCATTGCTAGCTGCCTCTTCAAACTGGAACCCAACCAGGTTTTGCATTAGATGTTGAATCACGCAGTAGGCACAGGAAGCTCTGTAAAGTTCAACTCTCTACTTTTTTCCCATAGCTCTAGTTTAGTATGAAACTGTCAAGAGACGCTGTTCGATGAAAGTTATCAGCCCTTCGGAAACTCCAACTGCTACAGCATCCAGCCGAAACACATCTCAGCAGGATGGGTAGCCCTGAGCGCATCAGACCTGTCCTCTCCATGCTCTAGGCTGGCTGCCTATGGACTACCATCTTTACTGCATAACACATGCACCTTTCACCCCCAAATTAGTGTACCAAAACTGGGGATGCGTGCCTTAAGTAGGGGGAGCGGATTTTCTTGCCAGAATGGCAACAGTTGAATTTCTATGCAGGCAGCACTAAGGGAGTCAATTAACTTCATGGCTTATTGTAATATACTTGATTACTGCTAACTGCTATTTGCTCAACAGGTGTTAATGACCCAGCCCCCTTTTTAATGGTCTTCATATTCCACTAACAAGCTATCTTTTTTCTGCAATTTTGCTGAAGATTTTTCAAACTTAGCTACTCTTGGTCTCT